TTTTTAAATGCGGTGTTTAGCAAGTGCTTGATGCATGGAAAGTGTTCCATAAACACATGCTTTAATTATTGAAAAAGATTTTCAAGTTGTCAGGGTACCATTTAATTTGGACATACTTAGTAATTTAAGTGTGGGGACAGCTGACAGGATGTGCATAATGTGGTATTCCTGGGAATAAGGAGAAGGTAAGAGCAATAACTGGGAAAAGAGGCTGACACCTGAACTTGCATCTGCACTTTCTCTTCTCAGACCTGAGCCTCTGGGAACCCACAATAAGCACAAGGCAGGGAGGTGGGGGATGAAGCATTTAGGGAGGGATGTTTATAACTTTTATTTTTGCTTATGACAGAATCACTGTTTTCCTTTGAGTTAATTGGTAAAAATACACGAGGACAAGTTTTCATAATATCAACCACCCAGAGGCATGCTGGTTGATATTTCTCATATAGGTCACCAGGAATGACGTTTATGCCTCTGTGCAATTCTTTTCCTTCCCTTCTCTGTTGACCCACTCTGATCAAATTTCCAAATGCCCTGTCCTGGCCCAAACCTCTTTATTTCTAGGACACCAGAAACTTCTGCATTGCGTGATCCAGTGGATCAATTCTTGGTCCACAGTTAAACTGGGTGGCGGTGCCTGCCTGGCTCTGTTGGTCCTTCTCCCTGTTTGCTGCCCTCTCTTCCCTGGCTCCCAGAGTTCCATACTCTCCTGGCACTTTCTATCTGATAGCTCCTCTTCAACCTACTTGGGCTCTTCTTTCCTTCAGCCTGTCCCTGTTGGCCTAGAGCTGAGACTGGAAATGGATGTTGCAGATGTCCTTATTTAATATGGAGTCCCTAATCCAAGAGGACTGCTGTCCTTGGAAAAGGGAGATATGGAGGCAGACACGCACTCAGGGAGGAGGCCCTGGGAGACGTGGAATTCTGCTGTCGGAAGCCCGAGGACAAGCAGAAGCCAGCATGGGCCCTGAAACAGATCCATTTCTGCACCTTCAGTGGAGGTTACTGGTGACCTGGGAAAAAGCAGTCTGTTCTTGTTTGGAATTCTAGATTCCAGAACTTGGAAATAATAAATTTATGTTGTTTCAGCCACTCAGTGTATAGTACGTTGTTAAAGAAATCTTTTTTTTTTTTTTCTCTTTTGGCTTAATGAGACTTTACTAAATTAAACTTGTCTAATGTCTTTAACAGATTGGCCTCAGAAACAGGGTCCAAAGTAGACCTCCAGTATCCTCAGATGCCCTGGGTCATTAACCAAAGGTCCTTGCCAGGGCCCACTATGTCCACTGGTTCTTGTAGCTATTAGAATTTGGGGACAAGTTGTCTCAGATTTGAGCTCCAATAATTTGTGTTTTTAGCTCTGAGTGTATCTGAGCAATTCTTAGACTGGACTGGGTTTGGGATCAAACTGGATCCAAAACTTTACTGAATTGAATCCAGGCAAAGGGTTTGCGTAGGTGTCTTTTTGATTACAGGCTTGTTTCAATACATGAAGTCTGAGATTCCACCTTGTTGGACTCCAGCTAATTTTACACATAAGAGCTAAGTACTCAGGATTTGTGTATTTTTGGAAAAATTGTGTCAGCCTTTCTGGAGAAAACTTAGACTTAAAAGAGCCACCAAGGAGAAGTTTTAATTAAGTAAAATCATTTACTTGCAGGGCATATTAGAAAAGAGGAATGGAAACCTCACCAAAAGCAGGGACGCATTTGTAATTGCTATGCAGAAGTATCTAAAAGACTGAATGGGTTAAAGATTGCCTTCCTAAACTTTTCTTACAGAGGCACATGAAAAGTTTAAGGACCAAGACTGCACCTTGACTGAATTAACCCCGACTTCGCATTCTCTCTGTCAACCTTTACTAAATGCTCTACATCCACTAACCGTCCTGCTCTATTACCTTTGCACTCAGAAGATCAAGAAAAAGAGGGAAGTTAGACAAAAATGCCTTAAGGAGGGAGAGCTCTGACCAGCCAGAATTTCCTGCTATTGCTGCATTTACTCCTTGGTCTAATGAGCTTAGAGCTGAAAGCCCTTGTTTAAAAGGCCTTCTCTAAACTGAGGGAAAATCCTTGAAAATTTACCAAGGGGTTGAGAATCCTCATAGGAGCTTACAAGGCAGGACTCCCGGATCTTTGCCAATTGATTCACAGGATGGTAGGAGCCTGCAGACCGGAGGGAGCCTGAGGAGGAGTCTGTGAATGATTCTCCAAATTCTCCTCACAAGATAGGTCAAAAGAACTGCTGAAAACCTTTAAAGCTGAATCCCCAAGGCTTTTTGGTTAATTATACAGTTTCAAAGAAAACAAGCAAACTCTGATGAACCAGTTTCAGATTACAGAGTTTATTAGGAAATAGTACTAGTAAAACAATCCAATCTGGAAATAGAGCAAGAGGCATCTCCTCCAGGACTGCAGTGGCAACCGGTGTGTCTGTAAGTGGACTTCCCCTGAACTTAGCAGCCAAATTAAAAAAAAGGAAAACTAGGATGAGAACTTAGAGAGTTCTGTTGAATTGGTGGCCTTGGCTGAGCATTTTGAGAGGATTTAAGAGTAAGAGAACCCCCACCTCCCACCCCCCGAGTCTAGCAAGCTTATGTCTCTCCAAGTACAACAGTTACAGGGAATGAGACCAAAGGAGCCCTCTCATCCTATTTTAAATGAAGAAGTCCCAGAACCAGAAATCCTGTATTTCAAGGCGTCTACCTTCCTCACAAGCAGCAGGACACTGGGAGGTGCCCTCTTTTATATCAGTCCACCAATAGACCTTCTGTGTTTAGACCCAGCTGGGGTCCCACTAGAGGAAGCCTGTAAGCTGATAATCAATATTGACCGGGCTCCAAGGGGTGAATGGGTCTCTGTACTACCTTTAAACACAGAGAAACAAAATTTAAGACAAATGCGGGGAGGGGGTGGGGGGCATTGTGGCTCATTGGTAGAGCACTTGTCTAGCATATGTGAGGCACTGGATTCAATCCTCAGCACCACATAAAAATAAATAAAATAAAAGTATGATGTCCATCTACAACTAAAATAATAATAATAATAATAATAACAACAACAACAACAACAACAAATGGGGGGGTACTGCACAATTCTGGTGTATACTGGGACCACTTTACCTTCCATAAGCTCCACTTTAAAGAATGGTCATTTCTGTTTTGGGGGTTTTCAATCAAGGTAAGAAGTTCCCACCATCTGAAACCATCCAATTGACTTCAGGGACATTTTTAGAAAAACATGCCTTTTTTTTTTTTTTTAATTATGTGATACTGTTCCAGTAAGCTTTCTGGGTAAGACTGACTTCCTAAGTAAAAAGGGCATATAACATTCTCTTCAGAGGATTGTATAATCTCAGGATTTCCCAACTGTATGGAACCAGAACTACTGTGCTCTCTATAGACAGAAATAGGTAAATTCAAACTCAGGGCTGCAATGCGCTGGATCTTTCTAATATATATGGATTATTTATGGGCTTCTTTCTCTACTGATAGAGGAAGGTTAAATGTGTGGAGTCCATTAAAGACTAAATAGACCATTCTAACCCTTTTGCCTAAGTTAATCCAAAATACACTAAAGCCTGAGGCAACTCAAGGACTTTCCTCGATTGTAGAGAACTTAAACCAACAGGGACTCGCAATTCCATGCACCAGTCCTTGTGAGACTCCAGTCCTATTAGTTAAAGAACCAATTGGACAAGTTTGGAAATGCCTTCAAGATTCTCAAGTAACTTATCAAATTGTGATACTGAGGTTTCTTGTAGTTCCAAACACTAATACCTTCTTGTCAAATATCACTGATTCAAAATGGCACACGCGAATCAGCCTCCAGTCTTTTTGACTTAAATCTTGTCAGTTTATACTAAAATGTTTTCACGTGTCTATTTCATAAATAGGCTCCACTCGAATAACAGCATCTATATCATGATCTGGGGGTTCAGTTATGAAGACTTAAAAATCACAAGTATGATAATAATGTTTGTATTGTTCATACTATTTTTCTGAAGAATGAAACCTGCACCAGATATACTGGCATAAAATCATAAACAATAATAAACATTCTGTCATGAGAAGAAATAGCAAAGCCCAAACCACTGCCCAACCAACCAATGCAACAAACAAACAAACAAAAAAACCAAACCAAACAAAACAAGAAAATCCAAACCAACCCCCAAAACATAAAACCTAAATGGTACACAGTAACCAACCTTTGCACAGTAACAGACCTTTGCTTTCCTTAGTATCCTTGTTGAGAAAGAGGTCCGGTATTTGTGTGTTCTTGGAAAAGTCAATAGAATACCTGGACTGTATCACCCTGAGGCTTACTGAAGCTGCTTTCTTTTCTCCAGTAATTGCATCAGGACCTCACAGTCCTGCAGCTTCTTAGAAATTCTACTCTCATTCGGGACAAAGATGATTCAGTGTTACACTCCCCCAACTGAACAGTGCCCTGAAATGGACTCATCTTACTTACCTTTTACAGCAATTTGTACATAAAGATCAGAAAGTTTTGATGGAAAAGTTCCAATTTTTAATTGGAAAAGTCCACTATTCAGGACATGACCCGACTCCCAAAGAGATTTCTGTATTGCTTGAGAGAACAAAACCTATTCAGATTCCCCTGGCCTACAACCAAAGACAATTAAGAGGTTTACTTGGACTTGCAGAATACTGCAGTTCTTGGGTCCCCAAATTTCCTCTAACAGCCTTACCATTTTGTGAGCTTACTAGCAATACACTTCCAGAGCCTTTAATAAGGGAAGACACTTATAAGCAGGCTCTAACTAAATGAAGCTGACCTTACAACAGGCCTCAGCCTTAGGAATTTCAAACTATTCTAAATCTTCACCTTGTTAATTCATGAGTGTAATAATCAGGCATTCAGAGTTCTTACCCACGAATGTGGGGGACAACATAGGCCCATCTTGTATCACAGTCTGCAATTAGACCTACTGGCTAAGGCATGTCCTAAATATTTAAAACAGAAGCAACAGCAGCCAGATGGGTTTTAGGAAATGAACTTTATTATATGCAAGTCCAACTTGCTGTGAAAAGTCTATTAATTTCCAAACTCAGCATTTCTTAACAGTAGACTACTAGAAATTGGTGAGATTCTTCTCCTTTCTCCTGCTGTCCATCTAAAATGTTGCACCATAACCCTATCACTTCTACCTGATGATGGTGAAAAGCACAATTGTATGAGTGTAGGCTGAGAAAGAGTGGCTTCTCAGGTTGATCTGTGAGATGCCCCATTGGATAATCCTGAGTTCATGCTTTTTGATGAATGGGAAAATATCAGTTAAGGGTCTCCCATTAAACCAAGATGAGTCAATAGAAAAGGGAACTCTTTCCCAGTGGAAGTTAGATTGGCCTTTAGGGTTTTTTGCTCTTACCCAAGTTTGTGAATAGCTAATCTGTAAATGTTTATGCAGATAGTAGATATGCTTTTTGGAGTAGTCCACAATTTTGGCATGTTGTGGGAACAAAAATGGCTTCTTGTTGTTGGACCCACATAAAAAACAGAGTCCAAGTAGATGAACTCCTTTCTGATATCCCATTACCCTTATGGATTGCCTTTGTTAATGTTGAAGCCCCTACCTATGAACTAATCCTGAATATCAAGGAAATGTGGTATCAAGTAAATGAATATCAAGTAAATATCAAATAAAGAGTGCAATGGTTCCTGACAAAGTTGGTATATGAAAGGATATAAATTCAATGGTAAGCATGGACTCATAGAGGGTCAGCCAACCACCTGGTCCTCCCTGAGTCCTCGAAGTTTCCATTTTTAAACGTTTCCATTCTTCAAGGAACAATTTCCCTAACATCAAGCCTCTGCGTTTCCAATGAGACTGATTCTGAAAACCCAAAAGTAAAAGGGAAGACTGTGCTATTGTACATATCACTACTGCTTAGTTTCTTACACTGACTGGAAATACTACCCTGACCTTTCTATTAGTAACCTGTTCACTATCAAATATGGAAAACCTATCCAAGTGATGCCTGCAAAAGGTATGTATTTCTAGGTATTGCACAGTCAAGACCAAGGGACTACTTATGTAGGTACAAATAATTGCTTGTATAATGTTACTGAATTAGGTCTAGTAAGGTCCCTTTCTACTAAATGTTGTTATGTAGTATTATAGCATGCTACAGGGGTACCGCATAAAAGTAAGTTTCCATCAGACCTTGTTTAAGAGCTGCACAGGCTTATGGGTGAACAAATTTGACTGACTTCTATGCAAGCGCCACTAGGTGGCCCTCTTTTCCATTCCCTGAGGGCCTATATTGGGTCTACAGAGAATTTTCTTCCTGTTTTGCCTCCTTGTTGGTTTGGATCTTGCCATCTGCCCTGGCTCAGTCTTGGCTTCTGGATAATATTCCACCATCAGAGGGCAAAGCAGTCAGTAACTGAAATTAGTGCCAAACTTGAAATAGGTGAAGATAAGTTAGTTTCCTCTGAAGAAAGTTTCCCATAGGGTTCCTATGGAATTACTCTGGACAGCCAGCAGAATCTAGTCATATGGAATTTGAAGCTACTCTGCAAGTAAGGGTAAATCTTGGATTTTGTAGTCATTCAGGTCTCTCTGGGGTTCAGTTCTATTTAGAAGTTCTACTTAGAAGCCATTATCCAAAAAGTAAATGAGATTATACATGTTTGACACACATTTAGTGGAACATCATTCATCTTTTTCTCTCTTTGCCCATGTTGAGGGCTTGTATAAATTTGTGATGAACAAAACTGATTATCGTACCTATTCTTCTTCTGATTTTACTACTACAGAAAACTTAATCTAAAAGGTGGCTGATATGACTGTTTCTCTGGACCTTGCCACTAACTAAATTAGGACATTTCTCAGGGAGAAGGAACTCCTAATGTATTTATGAGAGCAGCTGACAGTTGGTTTGCAGGCATCCTGAAGTGTGGTATTCCAGAGTTTTCTAATGTTTACGTTTCTCTTTGTGGGTCTCCAGATTACTGTGTTAACAGGCTAATTACCAAAATGATACCTCTTAATCATTATCACGCCCTGAAAAAAGACTCTGATCAGCTGGACTTGAGTGTTGCTGAGCTACCTTTGTTACATAAACTTAGTATTGTTTAATTTTGATTAGTTAAGTTTGTGGAGATGCCTGTCAAAGAGTGTACTCTAGTTTCTTAGTATTACCTCCTAATGGCTGTTGTCACAACCTTCTGATCTTTATGTGCAAATTGCTGCAAAAGTAAGATGAGTCCATTTCAGGGCACTCTTCAGCGAGAGGATGAAACAATGGATCATCTTTGTACTGAATGAGAGTAGAATTTCTTAGAAGCTGCAGGACTCGTTATGGAGTGCTGGGCTGGGACATCTTTGTTATTGCTGAAAATTACTAAATGAAGTAAGTAGAAGGCTTATTTTATCTCCATAAGTCTAATTTATACTTTCCTCTTCTCCCAGTTAAGGGGATTGTTAGGTCTTCATCTTGGCCGTCCTTTAGGCCCTGAGTCTCTTTAATCTCTTCTAAAGAGCTGTGACCAGTTGCCTCAAAAATAAGGATTTGGACTTGGGGCCAGGTGCTTTGACCTTTGAGGTAGAAGATGATGTGACATTTCACCCAGATGCCAAGTCAATAAAAAGTATCATGGAGATATTCATATACACAAGGGATAGAATAAATCATAAGGAGATAAACTTCCAGTTCCTCAAAGGAACCCATAAGTTTACAATTGCTGGATCTTGAAACACAGTGTTAATTTGTTAAACAGTGATAGAAAACTAATACAGGGTATTTATGGTGCACTATCACAATGAGTACCTGTTGTTTAGATATTACAATGTGCATGCAAAAGAAAGCATCTTGAAAGAAAAATGATAAATGCTGACAGCAATTATCAATGGGGGCTTTTACTTTATTCCTCACGCTTTCTATATTGTTTGAAAGTTTAGGATAAGAATATGTTACTTTAGGGCTGGGGTTGTAGCTCAGTGGTAGAGTGCTTGCCTCTTATGCATGAGGCACTGGGTTCAATCCTCAGCACCACATAAAAATAAATAAATAAAATAATATATTTTTAAAAAGAATATGTTACTTTAATAATTGGATGGGAAAATAATGATTTAAAAAAATATATCCTAATACCTCAAAGGGTTGTAGTAGATTTCAGTAACATAACTGATAAGAATGTGATTTTGTACATTATGTAGTATCATGAAAACACAATGTAGTAAATTTTCCTATGCCCACGATTTCCCCTCCTTACTTAGAATTAATAGGCCTAATGCCTTCAGGTAGGTTTAATTCCAGAATTTTATTTTAAAGGGATGTCTGAAGCATATGATAATGTCTATGGTATTCTTACCAAAGGATTATTTATAATTATAATGGTCAAATTAGAACAATTTTTATAATAATCTCTCACTAAATTTCCCTAAAAATAGAAAAAAATATACCTTATATATCATTTTGAACTTATTTCTTTAAAATTTCAAAATAATGTGTTTGGTTTCGAAGATTTACAGGATATTATAAAGCAACTACTGAGCACTTCACAATAGAATCCAAGATAAAAATATTTTTTGCAGGTTGAAAATTAATCAGAAGCTATAAGTAAATTCTAAATATATTTTGGCCATCTGATGGACTTAAAGGCATTTCAAAACTTGTCTAGTTAAAATAGGACATATACAGACATGACACATTTTATGGAGTCCAATATAGAAGTCCAACATCAATGTTCATTTCTTACAAATAAACACAAAAATAATTTATCTGGAAAATCTATGAGTACTATAATCAGTTTGATTTCTTCATAAATTTTCTTTTATAAGTTGAGCTAGTCTCTGGAAGGCCTAAAATAGAAAAGAGACAAGAATGGATGAAATCAGGAGGCTATTTTGGAAAAATCTATCCTAATTTAAAAAATGCAAACAGATTACTTATGCAAAGTTGAGATAAGGAGTTGAAAAATTACCCTGGACATCACTTTTCTCTGGGGAGGATGCCTCCAACATCTACTATAATATGTAGATGGAAGCATATTGGATTTCCAGGATAATGGGGGTTCTTATAGACCTCACAATCAATATTTTCCATTTTACCTACAATGGAAATTATTTTATATTTTCATATAATTTCTGCCTTGAAAATGCATTTTATACAGTTTCAACTGTCCAACTCTCTTCATATATAAAGGCAGAAATAATTTATGAAAAGCACATTTAATGATAGGAGAAAGCAAGTAAAGAAAGAACACACCCCAAAATCCCATCTCCCAGGTTTAAGCACAAGCACCTCTCAAAGGTGAACGGCACTGTCAATTGATAGCTCTTCTTTTTAATTCCAGATGTGTAGCCCTTAGGATCTTGTTTCTTTGCTTCTTTTCATTTTGGTTAAAGCATTACTGAGATTAACTTAAGAATATATTATTTTATTTGACCCTTAACTGATGCTATTTTCTTCAGAGAAGGAGAGTGAAGGATATTATGAATTTGTACTTCTCATTCATGGTAACTTTGTGACGAAAGGAAATGGGTTTTCCCTATGACATGTTGGGAACTTTCTGGGACTGCTCATTAGGTTCTGAAAGGTTCATCATGAAGACAGCAAACTTGAACTCCAATTTCATCTTTTTTATCTACAGAAGCCTAAAGGGGATGTTTAATGGGAGTTCATGACTGGCTCTGCTTTATAGCATCCCAAGAAGACATTCAATACCGTTCTAAATTACAAAGTGAACACATGCACCAAAACCCAGAACTGAGAGCTAGAGTAACTAACAGAATATGGTCCTTACCACATCCATCTGTTCTGGAGAGACTGAAGAGAAGGATACTCTGAAGTAAGGGCTAGGGGCCGAGCTGTCGACATAGAAAGCATTTCCAGGAAGCATTAAGACCTAGGAGACATGGTGGGACATCAGTGATGTTCCAGTAAGGAAAGGCTAAGAGAAAACATAGGTAAAACTGTTCTCAAATGGGGACAAACATTTTTAGGTTTAAAAGCGGTAGAAGGAATCACAAAATAAAATATTCACACAAAAACTGCACACGCCATACAAGAAACAAAATTAGATGCACAGAAACTGGAAACCTGTTTACCATAAATATGGCCAATGCTATTTCTTCTCCATGTATAAAGAACACATAGAAATGGGAAGAATGATGGAGAAGAACATTGATAAAATTCTAGTTTTCATGTGCAAAGGACACCCTAAAGAAACAGAAATGGCAATTAATGAATAAATGCCTCGCCTGACTAGAAACTAATATAGATTCAAACAATGAAACACCATTTCACGATATCAAATCTGAAAGTGTCAATTTGTTCTCTTTCCACATTTTTATTGGTGTATTGTAGTTGACCATAGTGATAGGATTTGTCCTTACATATTCATATGTGCACACGGGATAATCTGGCCAATTTGGATATAATTTGACCAATACTGAAAGAGATTTTTGAGCTGGGAAACCTGAAAGATAAGCAGATGTTATCCTGGAAAGAAGCAGGGAACAGTGTCTTAGGGAGACAATATGGAGTGTGAACGCTCTGAGATGGCAAGAAAATGGTGCGAAGAACTGAAAGGAGATACCAGTAAATAAATAAATAAAGTGAAGGATTAAAAATGTTAACCAAGTGTGTGAAGATAGAGTGGGAGAGCAACTGCAGAGACACTCGACCCCTGAGCTGTGGCTCAGCCATCTTTACTTTTTGAGACAGCATCTTTCTAAGTTCCCAAGCTGGCCTCAGACTTGGAATCCTCCTGCCTGAGCCTCCCGAGTAGCTGGAACTACAGGTGTGAACTACTGTACCTGGCACAATTGCACTATGTCAGGAACAGCTCACTGACTGGAGACTCCACTGCCTTTTCATCCTGGACAAACACACTTAATTCTTTAGCCCTCCATTTCCTCCTTCCTTCCTTCCTTCCTTCCTTCCTTCCTTCCTTCCTTCCTTCCTTCCTTCCTTCCTTCCTTCCTTCCTTCCTTC